CAACCATCACCACCGCCCACCGTTCCCACCGCCGCCGCCCCTATATCCACTCCCCCGGCCACGCTCCCCCTCGCACCCGCCGCCGACCCGTGCTCATCCTTCTTAGCCTTTTCAACTGATTCTCCCCTCACTCTTACTCGGGGCCGCCGCCGCCGCAGCGAGATCTCCGGCTGCCCGCGCCATGGTGGCCGCCTCCGGCATCGCGCCGCCGCGGGCCGCGGCCGCGCTCCCCTGCGCGCGGGCGCGCGCAGGGCACCGGCCCGGCTTCCTCCGATCCCCTCCGGTGGCCGCAGCCGCTAAGGCCTCCGTGGCGGCGCAGCTGCGGTGCTGCGCCTCCGCCGTCGACGACAGCGTGGTCGCGCCGGCCGCGCCCAGGCCCCGCCTCCCCAGGTAACGCCGCGCCACTGCCCCCGCTCACGCGCCTCACTACCTGCAATGTCGACGCGCCGAGACGTGAATCACTCAGTCATTGCTTGTGCTCTGCTTCTCCAATCTCTGTTAACATGAATTCAGGCTGTCCTCGCGCTGTTCGTTTACTGAGGATCTTCCTCCCAGCACCTCATTGTCTGATTCCGAGGAGATTTCACTAGTAGGGCGTGATTTTCAGTTTGATCTGTCCGTGATTCGGCTCGGGTTTTGGTTTCAATTCGCTCAGGTTTTGGTCTCAATCAGGTGCTCGCTTATGTGATTTGGTTAGTCGGTGAGTGGCTTTCCGGTAGGAGGTTCAACTACCACCCTTATCTGCGCCACTTTCGCATTTATTAGCCTGCGTTGGCTCGCGCTGCAGAATTTGGTTATTCTGGGGCCTTCCTTTCGGTACCGCTACGGGTTTATACGGGAGTTTTAAGATGGAAACGAAGCAGTTCTATGTAGCCAGATCGGATGCTCATCACCGTTCAGAAGCTTCTGCTCTTTGGTACTATAGCGATGGTGCCACGATGCTTGTTCTCACTAGTCTTACTGCGTGTCACCAGAATAGGTCGCCCTCATGCATAGCCGTCGTGCAGATGGTAGCTCGCTAGACCCCAGCAATACTCGTGGTCTCCAATCCATGACCATGGATGGGGATCTGCCCAGCTTGCTCATAAATGCTGCGGCAGATGGTGCTATTTTTGTAGCTCACTGTGCAGTAGGCAGTGCCACAATGCTGTTGCTTGTGTCTTGATCCAACTGTGTTGCTGGGCTCACTCATCTCAATTATTGTTAACATGATTTAGGATTTACCGTGGTAGAACATTTCTTAACGGCCATGAGAAATTGCAGGGTGGTTGGCATGGGCTCAAAGCTCATCGGAAGCGGATCGGCCACTCCATCACTTTGTATTTCAAATGACGACCTTTCAAAATTTGTTGAAACGTCCGATGAATGGATCGCGGCGCGGACTGGGATTCGGAACAGGCGGGTTCTTTCAGGTATTTTCTATTACACTTCTTTCCCTCCTAGTTCAGTAAGCTAGCCTGATTCAGGCCAATTGTGGCCCCTCTGGCATGATGTATACTGGTTACTTCTGAGTAGTATTTGTTTTCTTTCTCTTAGCTAGGTGACAACTTGTGGATGATATGTGTGTCACGTCGTTGTTGGTGGTTGAAGTAGTTTAGTGAACGCACATCGATTCAATTAATGATTGTAAATGAGCATTTGTCGCAAAGCACCCTTCTGCATACATGGTTAAGGACTAGCAACACCATGTGACGTGGGCACGAGCTATTGTAAATATAATAAATAAACGATTTTAGAAGAGTAAATATAAATGCTGATAAATTTATGTCTTGGTATCTTACCAAATTCCTGGCTGGCTTATAAGTATATAATAAACGCAGCGCTTTTCACATGTTTTTTAAGTCAATGTACATATCTAATTATAAGACGTTTCAATAACATCATTGGGAGTTGGCCCCACTGTGTGTAAGTAGGCAGGTAACAGAGTATCAGATTTTGTGGAAGAAAGCTTAGGAGTCGCAACAATTCCGTTTTGGAGACATATTTCATTTGTTTATGTTTCAGGAGTAATTTGTTCTTTTCAAATGTGTTAGGAGGCGAAACACTGGGAGGGCTTTCAGTAAAGGCAGCACAAAGGGCACTTGAGATGGCCCAAGTAAGACCTGAAGATGTTGACCTTGTTCTCTTTTGCACATCTACTCCAGACGATCTCTTTGGCGGTGCTGGTCGGGTATGGCTATGCACATCTATTAAATCATTCTAGTAGTTGCCATCCCTGTCTTTTCTCAAGAATACAGTAGTTGTCATACTTATATGCAAACTACTTATGTTATTTAAAACAATGATATGTCTGAGCGACTGCATATTCCTGCTTTTAATGCGAGTCATCTCATGCTTGAGAATATTTTCCTTTTTATTTACTGTATATCATAAGTTGGGGTAGAAATGGTACTATCTTATTGTTAATTTATCTGAGGAATTTCTTTTTAAATTGTAATACTCTCTGTCAGTAAATTTTTTCACTTCAGTACTGATAGTCTCCAAAGTACTGCTTTCAGTCTTTGAACAATACTCCCTCTGTTCCTGAATGGCTGTAATTTAGGGCACTCCAACTAAGGCATGTATACGACACATTACATTTGCATCCATAATTAGCTCATTATGAATGTTGGATGTTATGTGTTAATCTAGTATATTAATGAATGTTAGGGATATGCGAAGCAAACAATGGCAGTACCGCAGTAGTTGCCTCAAACTTGTAAATTGGCATGTATTTCGGAACAAAAATCCAGAAGCTAGAATGGGATGTATTTAGAACAGAGAAAAGTGATTTCTATGGAAGTATGTTGTAATGCATGATAATGAATATAGATGATGATAGTATGTTTCATTTGTGATGACTATATTGGTACTTCGAAGTTATTACATATCTATATTTGATAGTCAAAACTAAAAATGTTTCACTGGCATACTTTGTGGAGCAGCCTATATTTGATAATAACGTAGTCATCAAATAATATGAACTATGTAATGGTCTTTCCATTTTTGTATTTTCATTCAATTTTTTTCCCTGTTTAGTAGTACTGTTAATGTTTTGTACTATCAGTAAATTAGTTGTTCTAATCATCGGTGCCACTCTGCTCTAGTGCTTTATGCATTTTATATGCCCATTTTTGCATAAATAACATCAAGATAAAATGAAAACAGGTGCTGGCGGAGGTGGGGTGCACAAATGCATTTGGCTTTGATATCACTGCTGCCTGTAGTGGGTTCATTGTTGGTTTAATTACAGCTACTCGTTTTATCAAAGGTAATTCCCTTGTTAAATATTCACAATGGGTTGCTATTGAGCGCCTTGGTGGATTAATAATTTATTATCTGCCACTATTGTAGGTGGAGGTATTCAAAATGTCCTTGTAGTTGGGGCAGATGCTCTTTCGCAATATGTGGATTGGACAGATAGAGGTACATGCATCCTCTTTGGCGATGCTGCTGGTGCTGTTTTGGTCCAGGTATCTGTTCTTTTTTGCTGAAATGTTGGTCTGCTTTCCATGGTTCAGTTGGCTGTAGTCTTTCTGTACAGTCTATTGGGTAAGACACTGCAATTTGTTGTAGTACAGGTATGAGGTGTTCGGTGGTAGCGTGGCATTGTAATTTGCAAGATCCTTGTGCAAGTTCTTTTGTCTAATTTTAAATCCTCGATATTGCAGTCATGCAATGCTGATGAAGATGGCTTGCTAGGTTTTTGTGTGCAAAGCGATGGCCATGGGCAAAAGTATGCCTTCTTTCTAGAAAGTGTTGAGGTTACATTTCTAGTAGGTCACTTTCTTATGTTTGTTGATTATACTTATGTAGGCACCTGCATTGTTCATCATCGAACGCTGACTCAATCTTATCCAAGACCAATGGTGTCCCTGGCTTCCCACCGAAGAAGACCAACTTTTCTTGCATCGAAATGAACGGAAAGGAGGTTTTCCGCTTTGCTGTACGTTGTGTCCCACAGTCCATCGAGAAGGCGCTAGAGGAGGCCGGCCTACCTGCCTCCAGTATAGATTGGCTGTTGCTTCACCAAGTGAGTATCCTAGCCTATCGACCATGAAACTCTTTGACCTGAAGCATCGATCTAACTGACCCCATCGATGTTTTGCAGGCTAACCAGCGGATCATCGATGCTGCTGCCAGTCGGTTATCTATCCCATCGGAAAAAGTCATCTCAAACCTTGCTAATTACGGCAACACCAGTGCGGCATCCATTCCATTAGCACTGGACGAGGCTGTTCGTGGCGGGAAGGTGAAGGCGGGCGACGTCATCGCAGCATCTGGCTTCGGAGCTGGACTCATCTGGGGTTCGGCTATCGTCAAATGGGGTTAATCAACCGCTCTGCACAGCGAACTATCACAGCAAACTAAACACCGGTTCCAAAGCTTTTGCCTGCATATGGTCCTAGGTCTAAGAGCCTCTGCGGGGTCATCTACCCGTCGCCTGTCCGGCATTTTTCTTTTAAATGTCCGTCATATTTTCTTGCACATGAACAGTGGCAGTTTGCCTTATTCATCCATTCCTTTGGCCCGTTACACAGCTCAGCTGTCATTGTGGTTATCACTACTGTACTTACTAGTCTACAGCGAGTCTGTATTGTATTAGTCTTCTGTAGTTTGAGTGGCACGCTTCAGTATTTTGCATCTGGGATGGAAATTGGAAGTTTTTAGCTGGTGTTGGAAGGAGGATACTGCATTGTAAAGTCTTAATGTGCCTTCGTAGCAAGGTATTTTTGCCTGGAGATTCCGATGAATTCTGATCAGTTTTATCGCTCCCGTCAATAAGAATGTAAACGGAGGATGAATATTGAGCAAATGCCGAGTCCTGATTCGAAGGATGAATATTGAGCAAATGCCGAGTCCTGATCCATCAGCTAGTTGTACTTTTTTTTTTTGCGATAGCATCAGCTAGTTGTACTGAGAGACTGCTGTCAAGTGTCGTGTGCTAACTGTAAGCACATTATAAACAAAGAATTCTCGGCAACTCTAATAAAATTCGGATCGTTGGTAGCTCTGATAAAATTTTTGAAGAACAAATTGCTGAAAAAAGCTACGAAGTATTTTTTGCAACAAATAAATAAAAGATACCACTGCTGCTCTAGAGAATAATCAGGAAAGGAAAAGGACACCCGAAGGAACAAATGTTTCAATGGAAATAAAAATTCCATTGCCGGGAATCGAACCCGGGTCGCCTGGGTGAAAGCCAGGTATCCTAACCGCTGGACGACAATGGATTGGTGGCAACTTCAATGTTGGGACCTAGTTATCGTAACTATTACACCATCGAAGGTTTTGTCCCGCCCCCTTTGTAGCGGGGTACACGCGTAGGCAGTCGTAATAACGTACGATGTCTGTTCGCAGAACTCCGCACCACTGTCGAATCGAAATTTGAGAGGCGAAATGAAATGGGCGCAGAAGTAGGTCTGTCGGAGTCCTAACGATATTTCATATCTGTTCACCTCCAGCACTCCTCTCCGATTCAGACAGTCACGAGTCATCTTGCTACGCCTCTTAGCATTGAGGCCGTTATTTTTTTTCTTTCTACAGAGCAGCGTACTAAGAGAAGAGAAGGCAAATAGTAAACGGCTAGAATTGGGTGGTCGATCGCAGCGTGCGAGCGGTCGCTCCCACACCCGCACGCGTCTCCCTTGTGGGCCAGCACTGCAAGCGGACGAGCGAGGACGTTGCGAACCGGCGGGCGCACCGATGACGAGCGAACACGAGGACGAGGTGGGGCGGCTACGGCAAAGGTGCGCGGCTGCTGCGACAGGTGAGGAGCGATGTTGTGACCGCGACATGGGACGATGCAAGGGGGAGGGACGGCGCCGCAAGGGGGCTTCCATGCAGCTAGTGCAACACCGGCTCCGCGTGGTTGATGTTACTCCCTTCGTTCCAAATTACTCGCTGAAATGAATGTATCTAGAACTAAAATACATCTAGATACATCCATACACGCGGCAAGTAATTTGAAATGGAGGGAGTATATTGCAAGGGAACTCCAACGAGAGACCCAAATGAATGCGGATTTTATCCTCTTTTTTTTCCAGAGTTGGTTTTGTCCGCCGGCTCATAAATGCGGCCAACGTGAACAGACACATTGTACATTTGGACGCAAATTCGAATTATAAAAAACAGCCAGCAAGTCAAGTCTTACATTAATTTAAACTAGAAAAATAAAAACTATGCGTCGTCGTCGTCATCCTCTTTGGTTAGGACCAAGAAGACCGGCACCTCCATCCACGAAAAGGCCTCCTGGAATGTTGCCGGCGTTTGCTGCTTAGCCAACGCGTGCCGCTTGACCTCTTCCTCGGACGCGCCCAACCACACAGGCGTGCACGCCACGTGCATGGGCGAGCAGGGCACCGTGCTTGTCCACAAGCAAGATTGGTGCTCCAGCTCCCACCACTCCTCCACTGGCTCGGACGCGGGCGGGTTTGGTAGGAGTGAGGGCGCGTTCGCCTCCACTCTAGCCGCCAATTCGGCCAACATTTGCGAAAGGCAGGCCACCTGGCGAGCTCCTCGTGCTCGGACTTCTCAATGGCCCTCCTTGTGGCCTCCTCGAGGTCCGTAATGTAGGGATCCTCGACCGCCCGATCCTCCTCCTACACCACCAACGGTGGTGGTGGAGCGGCAAGCTCGTGCGGTGCACGGGGCGCACCCTTGAAGCTTAATTGGCGGTGCAAGTCATGCTTAGAGGTGAACCACGCGTCCCAGTTCGGTGAGTCCACTGTGTACGCTGGGTCATGGCGGAGCTCAACCGGGAGTTGAGCATGATGGCGGCGGATCTTTGCCAGCCGCGCGCGTCTGAGACCGGCACCGGAACCCTGTCGTGCTTGAGATGCCACCCGTTCATCAGGTTCACGTCGGGCCACCACATCGGCACGCCATGCTCCCAGAAGTACTTGCAGCGGTGGACAAAGACGTAGAGAGGAAGGCATGTCGGCGGCTCAAGCATGGCGCGACGACATGCTGAAGTTAGCTGCGCGGCACACCAACGAGGAATCGACCAAGGGGGCACGAAGAAGAAGACGGAAGATGGTTGTTGAGGAAGTGGACTGGGCGCCCCCCTCCCACTACACGTGTGGCATTAAAAAGGACAAGCATGGACTGGCTTCTGTGGCTGATGTGTGGGCCCAAGCGCACGCGTGAAATAAAATAGGACCGGTAGGTGGTGGTTGGGCGGCAGCATGCAGGTCCAAGACGAACACTAAGCGGACACACATATGGACGCAAATCGAGTCCAAATTTAAGGCAAAAATGCATTCACGTGGACATAAAAAGCAGATAAAATATGTGTTTGCGTGGTGCGGACTCAAACGGACACAACCCAACTAAATGGGTCGGCCATTGGAGTTGCCCTAAAGTGTTCATGGGCCTTATTAGCGAGGTTTTGCCTGGTAATCCCATCTATTTGTGATGAATGTCATGGCTCCCATCAAACGGCAGTGAAGTTCCCTAGAAGAAATCAAATGGTAATGAATAAAAGAACAAACAGCAAATGAATATTGGGCCATTCATGAATAGGTCTATTGGAGACTGCTGTCATGTTCTATTCCCTTCGTTCTAAATTACTCGTTATAGAAATAGATGTATTTAAAACTAAAATACATCTAAATACATCCAACCTGCGACAAGTAATTCGGAACGGAGGGAGTAGCTGTTAGCACGCTGTCATGTTCCAAAGTGATATTGTTTAAAATGAATAGAACGAGAGGGAAATAGCACAGCAGGGAAACATACCTGCACCTCAGGTCTCGAATGATGTTGTTTAACCATCGGAGATAATAATCTTAAAACACACAGAAAGACAGGCAACAAAGGAAGAAAAAAAAGGAGGTAGGTGCCAGGCACGAGAAACTGATCTACGTAATCGCGCACACACAGGATTAGATTCCCGTAGCACGCCCACAACAGTCAGCAAACAAGTTTGCGCCACGATACCAGATAGCTAGATTGAACACTCTACATTCTTTAGAGGACAATTGAAAACTACCGACACCCGACGCTTGTTTGCAACAGAGTGGAACGTAACTAGAACGTGAGTTTCTATCGTGAGATCTGTCTTGAGGAGAAACTCCTTCCAAACTCTGCTTGAAGTGATGCAGTCATCGCCTGCAGTGCCGTGCTCGGCCCTTGTGTCGGTGGCCCGCTCTCCGGGATGTCAAGTTTGGGGCTACTTCCTTTGGGATTTTCTGCGTGTCAAGTCCAAAAAACAGTGACTGAACTAAATGGAGAGTGAAGAATAACCAAAGAGAAGGACTGAAAACTAAGAAAAATAGTGAAGAGTGAAGAAAAAGAGAGAAATAATGGGCCATTCACCTAAAAAACACATGTTTACCATCTGCTTATATATATTTTAGAACGAAGGCTCAAGCAGAACCCGGCTTTATAAATTAACAAAGCCACCAACCGGCCAGGATTTCAACTTCAAATTACACCACTCATCAACTAAAGAAAAGAAGATAGACGGCAAAGATACAAGGGCGTCAGGGAACAGCTCACAATGCACATACAACAAGCTAGTTAGAAAGATTGGCGTAGAACATATAGCTTGGAGATGCCATTAACCTCTTGCACGCCGAAAACCAAGGCCAAAGCGATATCCTGGTCAGGAGAGTGCACCGACGACGATGCAAGGCACGCCGTTGCCAAAACACCTGGGCTTGAAGAAAGACACATCCATCCAGATCCATCGTCAAAGAAGACCCCTGCCTCCTCGCCTGGCTCGAAGGCATCACACCGTTAAGCGATGGACATGCTTAGAGCCTGGATGGATGGCCTCGAAGAAACCACTTGGGCGGAACCAGGCATTCCCGACATGCCAACGACGACTCACCTAGAGCAGAGCAACACCATATGCCGTAGTTCTGACTTGGAAGAGGGCGAGCGATCAGAATGCACAATTGGGCAACAGCAAGGGCAAAGACCAAATTGGGAGCTTCGGCTCGCTCGACGACCTGTAGTGCAGCCACCGTAGGAGGGGAACCCTATCCCCTCCCGTCCTGGAAGATCCAAGGGCATCGGAGGAATAAACTGCAGCCCGTCGAAGAGCACCAAAACAACTTGACCCAGCACCAAGGGAGACACCGCCACCGCTGGACGCATGCTGCCGCCGCCGATACACTCCACCTACACCACAACGAAGCCCACAACCCATCTTTGTTCCCAAAACAGCGCCTTCAAGAAGGTTACAGCGCCAAGGGCGTCGCCGCTGCCCAACAAAATTGAGGATTTCTCCTGGGAGACAAAGGGGAAGGGGATGGGGGGCAAGACCTAAACGACGCCTTCGGGAAGGTGCGCCGCGCCCACGGGCGTCGCCGCTGGCATGGCTGG